TTAATCAAAGGCGTCTGCTCAAATTTCGTTTCTTGTGCGTTTTGACGGAAGCGCTTACGTAGGGCCATGTTTTTCTTCTTTTTTTCCCATTTGATTAGTTGGAGTTGAACCTCTTGATGATTTTTAAAGGGTTATGTCCTTGGAGGGCACTTGTTGCTAGAGTCAGGGTCTCGGGTAAAGAGGAAGTATTCCAGACCTGGAGATTTTTCGAGTTCAACAAGTTTGCAACCAGCTGCTCTAAAGGCGATCTACTAGATATGAATCAGCAAGGGGGGAATTTCTTACCTGATCTGTAGTGGGCGTACCCTTTCAGGTCATATAGTAGCAAGACTTCACAGCCCCCTTAGCCACTCGGTGTATTTTAATTAACCATCCCAACTTGTAAACCGGCGTCTGCGATGTAGCAGCCAGGAGTTTCGCCATCTCACGCAGAAGACTCGAGTTTGATTCTCGCGTGGGGAGAATTTGTGTCGCATATCTCAGTCTTTCTGCTGGGACATTGCATCCTCTCTGCTCGTGCTGGTCCCTACAGGCAGGTTATAAACCTGTCTCCCAAACGACCCAGACTGTGTCGATAGGGGCATAAAAACACTTTTGTTCACATTGTCAGGAGAGCATACCAAGCCTGTTAGGCGCTTAAATCTATCATTTACATATTACGACTCGAACAAATGATGTGTATTCGAACGAACTAAGCATAATGATTTCAAGAATCTACCCTTAGTGGCGGTGTCAGACATTAAACTCACAGCTTTCTGGTTGAAGACCAGCACTGAGTCGCCATACATGGACAATCGTATAGAAGAAATCTTTCTCCGTGCCGTTTTTATTGAACGTGTTCTTTTATGGCTCTTGTTTTCATTAAAACCAATCACTCATTTTACGCAATGGCGGTAACAAACATCGATTTCATATTACTTTCCAACTAATTTTACAAACGCAAATCGATAATATGCTCAGTTGAAATAATCAAATATGCAGAATCCATTAATATGATAAGATAAGAAGAGATTACAAAAAGAAACGTATTTACCCCTAAGGGAAATCTCACTCGCAAAATTTCTTACAACATAAATAGTACATAGTATAAGACGCATATTATTGTGTGCAGGCCATGGTTTTTTTTTTTAATTCTCCGTCTTCACTGTTTTTCTCTCACGAACACATACCACCCTCCTCCAGATACACAACCCCTTCCATCTCTCTCTCTCTCTCTCTCTCT